GTCCGGGAAGATCCCACATGCCGCGGAGCGGCTGGGCCCGTGAGCCATGGCCACTGAGCCTGCGCGTCCGGAGCCTGTTGCTCCGCAACGGGAGAGGCCACAACAGTGAGAGGCCCGCGTACCACAAAAAAAAAACAAAAAAACAAACCTTTAAAGCTCTGTCTCTGTAAGTATCTTAACCTTGGGAAACTTTCGCACTAAGTAAAGGTCCATGTAGTAGAAATGAGTCCCTTGGCACATTCACATAAAAAAGGATTGACTCAGTACTTGAAAAGCTCATAAATGCTTACAGAGTTTTCTAATAGACATTAAAATTTTATTATTAACAGTCTTCTGATTTTTTTTGGTCTTAAAATTTTCAACTTGGTTCATTTTAATTTTCTCATTTTATTAATTTTCTAGAAATAACAAACAATTTACTTGGTTTGAATTTGCTGTTCTATATATATAAAGGTAGTTTCATAATTTTTTTAACTTCCAGTAGAGTACTAAATTACACATAGAGATTTTTCTTCCAGCTCTACTGAAGTGCCAGTTTCTGTAAGCAGGCAGACTTGCACACAGATTATAATACTTTTCAACATTTTTTCTTCTTAGATTCTTATTGTTAGATTTCTATGAAGCTGATTAATAACCTCCGAAGTCAAAGTAATGTTTACTAAAATGACTTTAAGTATAATTTAAATAATTCAAAAGTTTTAAAATCCAGCCTCAATTTTCTCTTTTATTGTTCTACTCTAGAAATTTCAGCTGGAAAGGGTTAATCTCCAGGAGGTGAAACGGTCAACTTATGATCATACCAGGAAATGTACAGACCAGCTACTTCTCTTGGGTCAAGTATGTCAGTTTTTATAACTCTTTTCATGTTTCAGGGAGTTCCTAGTTGATTAGTAATTTACAGCATTACTTGTACCACACACACACACACACACACACACACACACACACTATATAGTGTTTCCTTAAAAGTATAAGTATAAATTATGCTTTCTTTCGAAATAAGACGAACAGACGTTCTGAGAAAGCAAAGATATATATGGTTAACCAGCTTGTAATTTTGGCTTCCATAATGTCACATGAGGCCTAACTAGTTTTGTTTTGTTTTGGTTTTGTGTCTTTGAATTGACTGGCGCAAAGCTTACATAAGCACCTGTATAAACCAGAATGTGGTTTTACATTTGTCCTAAAGAAGCAGTGTTGTATTTTTGTTCAACTTGTATATATGTAAACAAAGTGTTCACGAACATTTTTGAGAAAAGTCCTGTTTAAGCTGCAAACTTCAGTGTTCCAAATCATGAATTTTAAAAGGTTGTGTTGGAGAAAAACGGCCTCGTAATTAGAAGAATTGTTTCTCTTATTAGACAGACAGAGCTGTGCAGTTGCTATTGGAAACAAGCGCAGATAACCAGCATTATTACTGTGATTCACTGAAAGCCTGCTTGGTCACAACTGTCACCTCGTCAGGCCCCTCCCAGAGCACCATTAAGCTCGTGGCAACTAATATGATTGCCAATGGGAAATTGGCAGGTAAGGCATGTTTTGGGGTATATTCGTTAATACTCCGGAAAATCAGACCCACTCCTGGAAAGTAATTGGTTATTAGGGATATTTCTTTTTTTTTATATATACACTGGAGAAAAGTAGAAAGATTATTGCTAGCAGTTGATAAGATGACCATATAATTTAATCATCTAGACCAGAGTGCTTTTTAAAGAGTAAATGGGGCACTATTAATAATTGCCAAGACAATAGGCATAAATTGGATAAACCTGGGCACCCTAAATGCTGAAAACCAGTGAGTGAGGTAGGCTTTACTTGTTTGTTTTCTGGGCTGTGTTTGTACTTCCAACCCTGTTCATTTGAGTGGTAACACTGTAAAGCCCTATTTTAATATTTTATTTTAAAATTTAAGTCAGTAATGTCTCCAGTAGGTAGGTATAAAATGTCCAAGGCCAGACGAAGTCAAATGGTGGTTTTACCCTTTAGTGACTCGTCAGAGAGACAGCTCCAGTGCCACTTGTGGGGCTGCTGTTTTGTCTTCCAGAGGGTGTTCAGTTGCTCTGCCTGATAGACAAAGCTGCAGATGCCTGCCGCTACCTGCAGACCTACGGCGAGTGGAACCGGGCTGTGTGGCTTGCCAAAGTAAGTGATTCTAGTAGGTGCCTTGAACATTTGGGATAGAAAGTTCAGTCTTGAACTTTGGACTCAAGATTTAGAAGCATTTTTGTGGCTGCAAAGCGGCTTTGAGCATATTTTCTTGCAACTTTCATCCACTTATTCTTTGAGTATAAATTACATTTCTTATTGCAAATTGGAGGTTGCATTCGTAGCAATTAAGTGAAAGCAGCTGCCTCCTCTCCCTACTGGGGTGTGAGCCCAGACTCAGCCCAGACGTGTTGCCAGGCCTGTCGGTCCCGAAGGTGTGGGTCCCCGTCACTGCTGGTCATGATGCTGCAGCATCAGGGGGTGCATAGTAAAGCAGATCCGAGCTTTGTTTCATAGGTACAGATCCCATTTCGATTAAATTCTTTTTTCCTTCTATAGTGCAGGATGTCTTTGTTTTTAACGTGTGCATCTTTCCCAGGTCCGTTTAAATTCAGAAGAGTGTGCGGATGTTTTAAAGCGGTGGGTTGACCACCTTTGCTCCCCTCAAGTGAATCAGAAGTCAAAGGCCCTCCTGGTCCTCCTCTCCCTGGGCTGCTTTTCCAGCGTGGCTGAGACACTTCACAGGTACACCCAGTGTCCACGGCTGGTCAGGACCACCCGGGATTAACCACCTTACGCTGTCCTGAGGCTCTGCCGGGTGGAGGGTAGTCCTCGGTGTCGGGAGTGAAGGGAGAAGCATACATTTTAGGTTTATTTAAAAAAGAAACCTAAAGGGATGGAACAGTCTGTGTTCATTAATTCTTCATTTGGTCTAGGAACTGTGTTATTTTCCTACCAATATGCTAGCCACACCTAACAGGTACCTGTTTAAAAAGAATATTTAAAAAGTCTTCAGAGAATTGGGGACAATTCATCTTTGAGTAGAGCAACTGAGATGAAGGCTAGAAGGCAGTAGGAAGGGTGAAGAAAGTGTGGCGAGTTGGAGGTGTCCCCTCTGAGAACCTTGAAGGGTAATTAATACTCATTACTTGTTATAGGACATTTTATTTATTTAAAAACTAAGGGAGGTAGGTTGAGGCAGATACTACAAAAGCTTACTTGTTAAATCTGGGCAGTGGGTACGTGGATCCTTGTCCTGTCTCTGTAGATTTCTGTGGAATTCAACGATTTCACAAATTTTTTTTAAGTATTAATAAAAAAGAGCAGGGCGTTGGGGCTTGAGAATTCTCTCCCTTCCTTTCCTCTAAGCCTGGGCTGAGAACGGTGCTGGTGTGACTTACGCAGCACTCGGGCTTCCGGGGAGAGTGTGTACAAGTCTTTACATAGAAACACACCCTGGGACGGTCCTCTCAGATGTCATAAATTACAGCACCTAACTCGTGTTCTGTTGAGCAGCATGAGGTACTTCGACAGAGCGGCCTTGTTTGTGGAAGCTTGTCTCAAGTACGGTGCGATTGAAGTCAGCGAGGACACAGATATCCTTTGCCGGGACTTGTGTGCTGAGGAGGAATCAGATGCCGTGGCGGGTTTTAGAATCTCTCTCGGTTGTGCTGCCGGGGAAGAACTATTCTATCGGGAAAGATCTGTATTCGGACCCTCCAGAGCCAGGAAAGAGGGGGAAACGAGAGGGACGGAATCAGAAAGAAGGTCGTTGCACCACTGGCATCAGCTGTGAGATAGACGGAGGGTCAGGAAGGGCTGTAAAGGGGAGGGAGCCCGAATTTTGTCATGTTTTGTTTGAATTTAAAAAGAAGATAGAGGAAGACTAGTTTAGGAAAGGTAAAGGAGGCTGCTACTGGAATAAATGCATATTGGAATAGAATAAAAAGAAAGACTTGCTGTACCCATAGGGACAGTTTAACATGGAATAAGACACAGCAGCACTTCAGAGAGACGTGTCGTGCAGGCAGGTCACTGTGGTCCACGTATGACCAGGAGCATTTCAGTTCTACACGTCACTTGAGTCATATGTGTTTCTTTGAAAAGAATGAGCTTGAGAATCCAACTCCCAGGTCCTTGTTTTTGCAGAGGCCTTGTTATATCGTTGCACTTTTTCTTGAATTGTTACATTGTGGCCTCATTTCTACATGTCATGGTTTTGATTTTCTGTATAATTTTTTTACAGAAAATTAAGCTGAACTCGGTGTCATATATCTAGGCACTGGGGAAGTTGGCTCTAGTTTGAAGGAGCCATTTTGGATATCAGAACACAGTGGAACAGGGCTGTCTAAAATCCCAACACCCAGCTATCTGGAGCTCTTGCCTTGGGGTAGGCTTTGTAAATAGAACCTCTCAGTGAAGCTCATCTGCCTCTTAAACCACCAGCCTCTCCGACTTTCAAACGGCATGAGGGTATGCACGTGAGTTTCACTTCTGTCATCCTTCTTTCTCGTCATTAAGTGCTTTTAGACCTTGGAGAATCTGGGAGGATGTTAGCTGGGTCTTGTAGAAGGACAGGCTCTGGGCTCAGGTGGTGCAAGTGCAGGGACATTACACACTGAAACATTGCCTCCCCGCTCCGGGAGTTGCCCTCCCCCAGGGAAGAGGTACCTGTGCTTCTCCCGTGCTGCCCTCCCGTGGGCACTGCAGCAGAGCTGGTCATTGTTTCCGGCCTGTGGGAAGCTGGTGGAGCCCTTTTTGCCCTTCTTTTCCTTAACTGTGGTTTACAGAAACTCATCTCTGCTATATATGCGGATTATGCCCGAAGTTTGAAGAACCTCGGTTTTAAACAGGGAGCGTTTTTTTTTGCTTCAAAAGCTGGAGCAGCTGGCAAAGATTTATTGAATGAGCTGGAGTTCCCCAAGCAAGAACTGACTGAAGAGTGACAGGTCAGCATGTACCAGGGCACGCGGCCTCGCGAGCAGTCGGCCGGGGAGTTGGTCTGGCTGTGGATGGTCACAGCCCAGGCTCATGATGATGCCGTCCCTACCGGGGTCCTTGTGGGCTGTTTCACTACATGTGTACAGCAGTATGTGAACGTTTACACTGTCAGGAGCAGGTTCTAGGACCTGTATTTATCTCAGAGAAAGATGGGAACGCTTCAGATTTTGAAAGTATAACATTTTATACTTTTGGAGACAGTTTTAAGAGTCCCTGGAAACACTTTTAATTTTTCTTAAACTTAAGATCCAAGCAACTGAATTGCTTTTCTCATTGACTCGATTTAAATCTATAGTAAAAGGAGTTTGTGAGACCTATTCTGAAATCTGTGCTTTGCCTGTGTTTATATACAGTCATTCCAGGTACAAACAGAGCAGAAACATTTAAACAGTAAAGGTGACTTACCATAGCATTCCTTGTTTTCTTACCTTGAAAACAGAACTGTTGATTTCCTGATTTAGGCAGTTGCTAAATTTTGTAATTTCAGGTTCATAGGCTCATAGAGAAATTGTAAGCTTTGTGTTTTGTTCCAGTATGTGGAGTCTTGTATATTTTGGATTTTAACTCCGGTGATGTGTTACAGTAACCTCCTCTCTGAAGGCACTGTTCTTTAATATTCTTTGTTTTCTTCCGATGACTGAACTATATGAGATGTGACTGTTATAAATTATTGCTAAAAATTTAAATGTGTATAATTTACAGAAATGATAAATAAAAAGGGACTTCATCCCAGCCAGGCCTTTGTGTTCTCTGAGCTGCTGCGCACCAGGCCGGGTGCTGGGCTGGCGCCTTAGGAGTCCGTCGAGCTGCCGGCCCTCCAGCATCCGAGCCGCTTTGCTGAACCCGGAGAACCTGGGCTGCGGGGGCTCGGGCCCCAGCATAGAGCTGCCTCTGAGTTCCTGGGTGGGCAGGGCTCGGCTTGTGGCTCTCAGAGGCGAGGAAATGGCCTTCCTGTCTTCTCCTCCTGGACGTCCACGGTGGCACGTATCGTAACACCCACCAGGAGGTGTTTTCAGATAAAATCGTAGTCTCTACCCTTAGATATCAATCAGTCTGCCCCATCGGACAAGGAACTGAGATCCATGGAGAGGAAGAGCCTGTCCCGGGAATGCTTGTTCCCAGGCCGGTGCTTTGGCTAAATGTCCTAGAAGAAACCCAGGACCCATTCATTGGTCCTGTGATTGGCTAACCTTCTTGCCCTTTCTCTGCCTAGGTAGGTTACATAGAATTCTTGAAGGCCATGGGCAAACCCAGCTCTCTTTATATTGTTTATTAGTTAAATGATTGTCAGGATAGACTTTATTAATTCAACCGCCAACTAGCTCAAGGAGAAAAGAATGCTGGCCTTAGTAAGCAGAGAGAAAAAAGAAGAAATTCCAGCATAGGGCATCTTGAAAGTTAAATGTGCTTTGGATTCGAGGCCAGCAAATAGGCAGTGAGCTGCTGCCTGATTGTGGGAATGGAGGAGCGGACCAGGCGCAGCTCGGCAGCAGCTGCTGAGCAGAGAGGCCCGAGAGCCTGGAACATGTCACAGACCGGCTGGTTAGGATGGCAGCCAGTCTGTGTCAAGATACAACTGGAAGTCCCATTCTGAACACAACCCGGACTTCCCTTTCCCCTTGACCTGTGACCTCACCTCGTGGGCTCAAAGCTGAAAGTGTGCTCCACGCCCCTCTGGTGAGCATTCGAATTCAAGGGCAGGTGAATCACATTCACAGTCAGTCTTTCTGAACCTCAGCTTGCCTTTCCACGGAAGGTCTTTAAGCACATTGTGTTATCGGTGCCTTAGCAAAGGAGGCTTCCCAGGGTGACACAAGCAGCGGGAATTGGAAAGGAGAGTGACCGTGACTTCAGGTCAGCAGGTGTCTTCCTGTGCAAATCCCCACAGGTGTGCTTGTCAGGCCCTTGGCCCTTCCCTTGGCAATGAAGGAAGCCTGGGTGGAGGGGAGAAACCTGGTCTGGTGGGCAGGGGCTTCTGCGCAAGGGAGGCCCCGTGTGAGACCACTCCTCTGGCTGCTCTCGCAGAGCCATTTCCTGTCGCTCACTGTTACCTTTTTCCTGTTCGGTTAGTAATTGTTCTGCGGATGGTGGCATGCTCTCGGCCTGCCCGCACTCTTGCTTTAGGTATTTCCATTGCTTTGAAGGTGGGAGCAGAACCTTTTGTTCTTCTAAAATAGATATCAGAGCAGCATCAGTACAAGCTTCATGTCCCTCCCAGATGCAACTAATCAGAAATTCTCTACAGATAGACCTCACCTTGATATGAAAACAGTTCCTCTCTTGACTGTTTGTTGCCTGGAGATTTCATCTTGCATGAAGACAGTATTAGCTTTCAATGAATCCTCAGCTCGTGATCACCCGTAGTATTTCATTCTCCTCGGCAGCACTTCATGATTGAAGTAAAGTCTTCAGGTACAAACTTGTGGTCATGCTAGAATAAAAGAATTCTAAAAGGCAGAAATGACAGACAAGTGAGAATATTCTCTGAGCCAGTAGGGCTCTATTTCTTTGGGATCTATTTTAGAAGAACAAAAGCTTCTGCTCCCATCTTGTAACTGATTTGACTGACTCAAAACAACTTGTGAATGAAAGAAGTCTGTCAATTAAAACGTAAAGGGATTTTTAATTGGTTATACTTGAAGGTGCTGGTGTTTTAAAAGAAGAAAAGTGAAGGAGCTGGGCTTTAGGAATGCAGTTCTCCTGAGAACTGCTGGAATCCAATTAGATGGGCAGGCCCAAAGGGCACTCGGATGGGCAGATTGCCCCACTTGCCTTTCATGTCCTTAAAGGCTCCTTGCATGTGTTTGCTCCATCAGCCATGCCAGGCCTACGCAGAATAATGCCATGAAGGCCCCACTTCTCTCCCACTCAGATTTTCAGTGACTGCGGCTCTCAGATGAGTCCCTGCAGGCATTTTGCCTCAGCATTTGGCTCTCAAACCTAAAAAGGCCAACTAAACACCACCGACCCTCATTTTTTTCAGTGACATTGAGAAATATGACTTAGTCAAGGTGAAAGTAACTGTCCTATGTACAAGAGAAATAAATACATTCTAGGTTCCGTAGGTGATTTGGGTTGATATTTAGCTTTTCCATCTTCCATATTTATTTTTAGCAAAGCCAAGTGCAGTTAGGCAAGAAGGCTGTTAAAAACCCTGTGACGTACCGCTTCAGAAAGATTGAACAAATTAGTTAAGACTTTAAGATTAGATAAAAAGACATTCCTCAGTCACCGCCTTAAAAACGTTGCTTGGGTCAGTTTTCTCTCGCGTTGACTGTCTTCTTGAAACTGAAGTCCGTGTGTGGGCTGGTGTGGGGCAGCAGTGCAGGCTGGCGGGGAGCGGGGGCAGGTGGGTAGGCTGCACGGGAAGGGGCCCCTGTTCCGGGACTTCCTCAAGATGAAGGGCTGAGAGTGCGGCCTGCAGACCTGGCTGTTCTGTAAACAAAGTTTTACTGGAACAACCATGACCATTTGTTCAGTGTCTGTAGCTGCTTTCAATTCAAGAGATTTGAGTATTTGCAACAGATACTCTATGTCCTAAAAAACCTAAAATATTTACTGTCTGGCCCTTTACAGGAAAAAGTTTACCCACTCCTACTCTAGGTCCATAATGCCAACTTGAGATGAAATTTCAGATGTCCAGTTGTCTTTCTGGGTACAGATCAGTGATCCTTCTCTGACTAGGTACACTAGGACTTAGCTCTTCTCAGAAACATGTTGTTATAAGCGTCATCGCATCCGGCTCCTTTATGGGTCCCAATTTACATGGCAGTGGGTCTAGGAAACTACGTACAACATGTATCACCTGGGCTGACCTTAGTCTTATTTCTGACAGTTCTGAGATAAATGGATGGTATATATATGTCATCAATCAATGATAGATGACATCAGTAGACAATAGAAAATTTATATCCAAGAGCTGTTTCATTACCAGCAATTTTAAGCAAATCTCAGTCTTACTCCAGACACCTCCTAACGTGTTCTGCTATAATAAGACCTCAATTTATTCCAATATTTTGACATTCTACCATCTAGAGCTTTCATGCTTCAGGCAGGGTGGAAGATGAAAAATCGTTACACCCTAAGCCCGTGGTAGGCGTTACTGTTGCTGACGTGAGTTCACAGGGTACAGATGTTTCTGGACAGAAACCCTGGGTGGGGGAAGTCTCAGCAACTGATGACTCGGGCTTCGTGTAATCCCATATGGATGAGCCAGGAAGTGGAACGGTTATCAGAAGGGGAGGATGGATAAGCCTGCAGCCTAATCAAATGGAAAAGCTCAACTGAGGAGGAAACTGGCAAACCGTAAGTTGGCACAGATACATTGTGGGAGGGAGTGAGGGAAGGAGGAAGGCCTGAGAAACGAGATTTCTTAAAGGCTGATTTGGGGGAAATGATTCGGATCGTTTTCTTAAGAACCATCTGTCCAACAACAAAATTTAGTTCTGTGGATTAGGTTCACTTCCCAGTGGTCTCGAGTGCGCATCGGGAATGTAATTGAACAATAGGCCCGTGCATGTCTTAAATTGCTAATATCTGTCAAGAGTAGGACAAGAAAAATAGACCGTGTCCCGTGAAGCAGCTGGAAAGCTGTCCTATAGAGGATAGTGTTCTAGCAAGAGTCTAGCATTAGTTAATTCAAGGGATCTTAAGAATCTGATTTAAGTTTGTGCTCTTGGCAATGCCATTGCACATTCCAGAGGGTCTGCTGGAGCCACACTGGCTAGCAGAGTAACTGTCAGCCAAGCCTTGGGTTTTGCTTTTTGCTTTTGCAAACCTGCTCAGCAGTGGTTCTGAACACCAGTGCCCAAGGTGTGGAACAAAGAGGAAAGCGTGGCCTCGGGATGGCATGTCCCTGCCATCTAGCTGCCTGACCTTGGGCAAGCTGTCACCTGAGCCTCCTTTGTAAGAGGGGGATAATATTGCCTGCCTCCTGGGGTGGTTGAGAGAAAGATGACAGATGACAGATGGGAGGGCTCATCAGTCTAGAGGATGCCCGAGTCCTTAGAAGTTATTCAGGAACGTGTGTGTTCTGTCTGCGTCGCTCCTCATGGGAAGATGGATGAGACTCTCAGCTTTCGTTCAGGATGGGGAGTCTTGCTCGTGAGACACAGACCAGCAGGATTAGAACAGGCCAGGAGGAAGGGAGAGAAAAGGAAGACAGAAAGTGGCTCTCGGCATCCCTAACGTCCGTCGCCCACTCTGGCATCGCGGAAAAACTTGATCTGGAGCCAGGGTGGACCATCTTCTCTCCATGAGGCATCTCCAGAAACCTGCTCCGTCCACGTCCAGCAGTTCCTCCCTGACCGTCTCCCCCATACGCAGCAAGTCTCCTCCTGCCTGAGACTCGCATCACCTTCCTCCACCCCAGCCCTCTGCTGCCTCCCCAGCCCCTCCCTGCCCTGTCCTTACCCGCGGGAGCCGCCAAGCTCCGAGCGTGGACTGAGCCACCACCTTCTGTGGGAGGCACTTCCCTACAACTGGGTGAGGCTGGGATGGAGTAGAGAAGTGAAGAGCAGCCCTGGGCACGAGGGGACGTTCACCCTTGACAGCGGAAGGACTGAACAGAATCCACTGGGAGTGGCCGTGAAAGGACACATGGCGAACAGTGGAAGACAGACCAGGAAAGGCGCACAGCAGGTGCAGTGGGGTTCAGAAAGGACAGGGAGCAGGTGACTCACTGGAGCCTCCTGGGGAGGAGGTGTCAGCATGTCCCTGAAAGATGGGCAGGA